TTACGTGCAAGGTCAGCAGTTCTAGACCACCCACCACCCATCAGGAGAAAGACGGAGTTTCTATCATCAGTCAGTCTCAGAAACTTTTAGAGATAGTTCTATCCTGCTCTGTAGGGTGGCCATGATGCAGCATTGACTCCATGGCAAAGAGTGAGAAATGTAAAATGCAAGAATTATATCTTAATATTTCTCCTTTCAGAAGGAGAGAATAGCAGATTCCCTTTTACTGCAATATGAGACGTCAAAGCAACCAAAGAAAATGACTATTCAAGGGACTTCTATTTTTACATTTAAACTTATTAACAGGAGCCTTCCTCCTTGTTCAAGAATATTCAGAGTGACAATACTAAACAAAAATAACTATCAACTTTTCTGAATAAAGATATAACATGTCTTTATAAATTGGTCACTGATTAAATGATGCAAATTAAAATATGATTTTATTAACAATCTAGTTTCAAATTCAAGAAAGAAACATCTCAATATTCTATTTTAAAAACTTATTCACATTGGGTAAAATTCTATTAATGCAAAGCATTGAAATTTATTACGTTAATTAATTCAAGTAATGAAATTGTCTTTCAGGATGAGAAGAAATGATGAAGGATTATTAAGTTCCAAATGTCTTTTCATTTTACTGATATGCATTATGCAACAGAACTATCTCTTCAAGTTGAAGTAACAACTTCATAAGCCTTTTACTAAATCCTGATAAGATGTCAAAGAGGGAACCAAACATTTTACAAAGAATGGCCAATAAAAAGCAACGCTTTCAGGCAACTTTCCTTTTGTATTCTGTTTGATTGAATTGTGCCCCTTCTGCCCGCCCCTCCCCCTGCCACCACCACCCCACCCCCCGAAATAGGTGTTATAAATACTAACTTCTAGCTCATAACTATAATCCTCTTTGGGATTGGATCGTCTTTGTTATGTTAATTAAGACACATGTCGGGCATATCTTGCGTCCGTCCATAGCTTTTGAGATACTAAAGAAATTAAACAAACAAGCCTTGAAGCAGAATGCCAAGCCACATGAAGATCACCATGAAGTAGAAACTCAGAGAGACAAAGAGCTTCCTCTAAAGCCAGCGAAAGAGAAAGCCTCCCCTAGTGTGAATTTGGGGTCTAGCCTCCCTGAACTGTGAGATAATAAATTCATGTGTTAAAACTATTTGTGGGCTTTCTATTATAAGAGAATTAGATAACTAAGACACTGGTACCAAAGGACTAGGGTACTGCTCTAATACATACAAGGAGACCTCAAGAAGATGGTGGGAAATGGAAATTAAAGATAATTAGAATTCCCATGACGTTTTTAAGCCCTCTGAAATACAGTGTGAAAGAACCTTCGGATGTGGGTAATGGGCAGAGAGAGATTCTACGTTGTCCTGTGCTCTGGCGGCATATGAAATGTTGGGTGGCTAACTAGACGCCCTGTAGGAGGAGGAGGAGGTTTGCGACTCCTGGAAAGAGTTCCAGTCTCAGAAATAACCACAGGGTCGGTCCTACCCTGTCCCAGAGGCTCGCGCTGAGTGGGAACGGCCTCGATGGGAGCGAGCTGTCATCATCCAAGGAGTCTCCGTGACATAGCGGTGACAGGGCGGGCTGCGGACCAGGAGGTTAGTAATGCAAACTCACCAGCTGCTCTGCTGAGAAAGATGAATGCGCCTGCTTTCACAAAGATGTGCCGCCTTCGAAACTCACTGAGGGTTGCTAGCAGGTGGAACTGAATCAGTGGTGGGGAGCAGAGCAATTCCAGGGAGGGCACAGAATGAAGTGAGGAGCGAGCTAAGTCCTCTTAGAAATGATGTGTGGTGCCAGCAACCGAACTTTACTAGCAGTGGAAACTTTAAATGTGCTTCTGGCGAGGCTTTCAGAAGATAGCACGTAATCGGACAATGAGACAAGCTGATGCTTTACACACAATGGCAAGGGGTTTTCTTAATTATGTTCAAATGTTTGGTGGAAGGTAGGACTTATAAGTGATGAGCCTGGATATCTGTTATCTGATGAGATTTCTAAGAAAGATCTTAAAAGGACCACGTGGTTTCTCCATGCCACTTAGGGCGACATTCAGGAGACAGTAGATGGACTTAAAGATGAGCCTCGTAAAATGGAAAAGGAACATATTTAGAAAATCCTGACAAACACACTAAGGACTAAATTTCCACCAAAGATATCGCTACACAATCATTTGTGAATGAGACTACGATAGCCACATATGAATCTAACCAACAACCGCAGAGAAACAAACAAGCACTAAAAGGGAAAGAGAAGAAAGAATGCTGTCTGTCTCCTGTATTTCTACAGCGAGAAACAGACCAAGGGAGCTTCGCCTGTTGCCCTACAAGAACAGAAACGACCATCCCTGGGGCTGTCCTGAGGTCGGAGCTATTGGAAGGAGCATAAAAAGGGTCTTTTTGGTTTCAAAGATCCCCAGAATCGGATCTTCAGTCTGTTTCCACAGGGTAAGGCTGCTGTTAAGATTTGCCCAGGGATGGGACCATTGCTCCTATCAGAGAAGGTGTGACTGCCATGCACAAAAGGATGGAGTCTTCTAATCCATCCAGGAGCTAGAGTGGCCACTCAGATGAATTAGGAGAAAGGGGATCCCCAAAGCTGAGGAAGCAGAGCTGTCATTCCAGTGGCCCTGGAAGTCAGAGCTGAAGCCCAGGACCGAGTACCATCTTCCCAGAATCCAGAGAGCATGGCTGCCACTCAAAACCAAACTCACTGTCACCGAGCCAGTACTGGAACATAATGACCCAGTAGGATGGAATATATATGTTTACTGGAGTAGAACACCTCATTCATGGTTGTCCTTCTAGTTCCGAGGATAAGGAAGACAGGCCCATTATCTAGCTGGTCCTCAAAACCAGTATTTTTTTTGGATCTTAACAGCTAACTGGTTCTGCTGAATTTTGAACTTGATGATTGCCTATTATCCTTTTTTTTCTCCATTTCTCGCCATTTGCAATGGAAATTCTCCCATTTTAAAGTGAAATGTTCCTGTACCTTAGAGACAGATGACTTATGATCTAGATTTCACAGGTTCACAGAAAATAAGAAATGCTGTTCCCAGATGGAATATGCCTCAAATCTCACCCAATTTGATGTAGATGATTCAGAAGACTAGAGTGGGACTTGGAGCTATTTTAAGACTTTGGGATGATGTGATGAGAAGGCAGTGTTTTGCCTTCTTTGGGCCCAAGAACAGGAGTTTTAGGGCTCAAAGGACGGAATGTTATAGATTGGATTTTATGCCCCCAAATACGTTATAAATCTTATCCTCGGTGTCTGTGGTTATCATTCCTCTGGGGAATAGGTTATCTTTATTATGTTAACTAATAGGAGTGGTATAGGGTGTATCTTGAGGTATAAAATACACTAAACAAGCCGGGTAAGAAGCAGAGGTGGAGAACAACACATGCCAAGATAAATGAAGATTGCCATGGAGCAGAAGCTCAAAGAGAGAAGCATCTTCCTCTCCAGCAAAGAGAGCCTTCCCATAGAGCTGGGGACCCCAACTCAGACTTCTAGCACCCTAAATGGTAAGATAAGGAATTTGTTTGTGAAAGCCATCCAGTTGTGGGGTTTCTGTTATAGCAACACCAACAAAGTGACGTATAATAAAGGTAACTAAAACAAGTGACAATATTTTTCCTATACACTATTTTTTGCACCCAAATTGCAGGTTTCACCTACCTCTGTTCCTCAACACCATAGGGGACCCTCAAATTTGGGGTCTTAAGGCAGTCCATGGTAGTCTTACTTGTATTCTGTGAGTGGCTGTTGCAGGCCGGTAACTCTTCTGAGGTTAGGCTGTGAAGTTTTTCTGAAGAATCTGAAATATTTTATTCCACGCAATGTCAACACATAGGTTTAAGAAACAATTGTATAGTATATTGTGCTAACGGTTATCTCAAATAAATTATAGCAGAAAGAGTGTCAGTACAGATTTTTAAAAATCTCTCAACTTTCTGTATTGAGGGCCTAGGTACCATGAAGACAGAATATTGCGCATCTCTTCAACTTGTATTTTAAACATCTTATATTTCTGGTTTTCCTTCTAGAAAAAAAAGCTCCATCCACACACAGCCGGAGGTAAAAGGCGAGCCTTGTAAAGCTGCCCCCCTCTCTTTTTTGGCTTCCTTTACTTTAGGTGGATACTAACTGCCTATATTTGAAAGAGAGTTTTAAATCTTCTCTCATCAGGAAGCTGGACTATGATTTAGACTAAGTAAGAGGACAAATAGTTCAAATTTTAGAAGTCTTTCTATGAATTACAAAATAAAGCATAAAACTAAAATCATTATATTACAAATGTTCTATTACTTGCTTTTTGTCATTAACAAAGTTGTAACAGCCATATAAGTTATATGTCAGGTTATGAATATGATAAAACTTTAAATTGTTAAAAATCACCGGGTACCATTATTCCCACCCCTGCCATGATATTATCAAGTAAACATCCTCCTGGTCAGAGTGCTAAACACTAAACTACATGCACTCTACATTTGACTGAACAGTGTGTGTGTGTGTGTGTGTGTGTGTGTGTGTGTGTGGTTATCATCAACTTAAGGATTTTGAGCAAGCAGAATTCCTCTATTGAAAGTACCATCGATTTTTAGATGATAGATAGATAGTTATTTTATATATAGATCTCAATACCTTTTAGAGCTGGAATAGGGCTTAAAATTATTTGCCCAATGACTTTCAAATGTATAAATGGATGAAATAAATGGTCAATGCCCTCAGCTACTACCCAAAAGGTGGGAAATTCAAGAAAATTTAAAGTTGTCTCAGAAGAAAGTTCTAGTGGTCAATTATGGAAAAATAGGCTGTGTCCTATGCACCACTATTGTAGTACACATGGGGTGGCCATGGGTAATATTACCTCTACAGCAACTGGTTTTAGGGATGTAGTTCCTGATCTTTTTACTCTCAAAGCAATCAGGACAGCTTTACTTAATCTACTTTAAATAATAAGATGTATAAAAGATTAACTTGGAAAGATTAAATCCCTCAGTTCAATTTTTTGAATTTAGTGCTCCCATCCCCTCTTGTTAGAGATTAGAAAACTAAGACCCCACAGAGAATCAGTCAGCTAATATCATATGACTACAAGTTAGAAGCTTAAATCAGAACTGAGTTCTTTTAGTTTGCCCATGTTGTAATTTTTAAGGTTCAATTGTCTAATTCTCTACATTTAAACTATCATCTCCATCTCATTTTTCCACAAAATAAAACAAGACTGCTATCCAAGCATGCTCACATTCCTCAATGATAGGCAATGCTGCCTTTGAAAAGCAGGTACATTTCAGAATGTAGAATTGCAGTACCAAACCCCATAGTGATTTGAGGATTAAAAATATACCACCAGGAGAAATATTCTCAAACATTCTAATTTCATCACAAGAGCACTAAGTGAAATAGTGGAAATCGAATGAGCTGTTATTTGCAGAATTGACTATTTATTGTAAAATACACATTCCAGAATCCCGTGATGTTAACAGAAAAGTAAATGTGATATCACTTGATTTTAGGTAAAGGGAAAAATAAAGACAATATAAAGCTGCTTACAAAACACGATCATTGGTTACAGTTAAACCTCAATGGTCACTTGAACTTCTGATTTTTCTAATACGGGGCTATGTAAGACTGGATGGACATTTTATGTCGGACATTTTACAAAACAACTGTTTGTTGAGCAACGGATTCTTGTCAAAACTGTTCTTTCCCAGGAGCAGAGAGTAGATGCTCTCTGATCCTGGAAGAATCTCTTAACTGCAATAATAAACAGTGAGGTCAGGGGAAAAACACTGATTAAAGCGAGGCCTTGAGTGTATTTCTAAAATTTAAGCCATTTAAAATACATGCATAAAATTGTGTTCCACCGGGAAATAAATATTTGAATGTTTTAGTTAGTTATTGTTCTGTCAGTTGTGCAGAGAGCTGCCCCCTAGGGTTTTCAAGGCTGCTGCCTTTAGTAAGTGGAGCGGCACGTGGGCCTGTGAAGGGGCCTCTGGGTGGGTGTGCACCTCCAGCCTTCCTATTAATTAATGGAGCACATACCTCTCTGTGCCACCCAGGGACCTCCATTTGATGAGAAAGAAAGAGGAACAAAGACACCGGTAAAGACTTCACCAAATGGCAGCAAAGCAGATAAGCATTTTCCAATAGGAAACTTGCAAAAACAACTTCTAAAGGACTAAAGGAAATGGTGGCAATACCAAGCAAGCATTGTAGCCATCTTGCTCCAGGACGGTAATCCAGCCTCAGAAACTCTATATCCATAGGGTGGCAATGAGGTGGAATCAACTCCAGAGCAGTGAGTTTGGGAATGGCGATCTGGAACTACATATTTGCATTGCCATTATTTGGGTGGTGGTGACCGGACAACACTCACCCTGGGGCCTGGAAACCAGGGTCCCAGGCAGTTCTATCTCCTTCTGTTCCTTCCCTCCTTTCTCTTTGCCTGTTCCCTTGATCTTCCTTTGTTTCTCTCTCCTGTTCTTATTCTTTCCAGTCTCCTTTCCCTGACCTTGACTCTGCTCAAGGGCTCTCCCTCTTAAATGGTCACAAAGTTGATGGGAAACATCTCCAACTACTAAAGGAGCATTGATAGGGTCACAAGATCTAGGAAGCAAATGTGGTTGGGATTATGCCTCCGTTCTATTTGCGGCCCCGAGACAGGTAGTAAGTACATTAACCACTGGCTCCAGTGAACTGTACCCAAATAAAAGTGAAGATTGAGACTGGCACCTGCTAAGTCTACCTCAATAGGCAGTGATTAAGATCACAGGAGGCACTAATGCATTAAAAACAAAACACCCTAAGGATGAGTCAGAATTGACTCAGTGGCATTGAGTAAGGATCATTATAGCTTATCAAGTGACTTCTTATTCCTTAACTCAGGTTATTTTGATGTATTTCCTTTTGTTTAACATTGGCTTTCTTTATGTATTTAATTTGCACACTATGCACAGAAGAGTCATTTTACAGTATAACATATCATTTGATGATCATTTTACAGTTTCATATATTTGATGATTACAGTGGATCCAATTACTGAGGAAGCCAGAGTCTTTTATTTCACAAAAGGTAGGACATCTACCAACATAAGGTAAATTTTATTTTATTGTTTATTTTGGATAAAGCACTTTTTAGTTATTTGGTTTGCTTCACTCCCTGGTGACTCATACAGAGCCCTGGGGGCACAGTGATTAAGAGATGGGCTGCTAGAGTTGTCAGTTCAAACCCACCAGCCCCTCTCTGCAGGGAAGAAGCATGTAACAATCTGCACTGTAAAGATCACAGCCCTGGGAACACTGCGGGAGTGCTACTCTGTCCTATTGCACTGCTATGAGTAGAACGTGGTTGATGGCAATAGATTTGAGGATCTGTTAAATGTGTGTGAACAAAGAAAGGGAGAGATACATTTTCATAAATATTGCATACAAATAATATAAATTAATCAACAATTGTACGAGCTACATCTTATTAATGGAATACATACTTATTTCATGTATGATGAACAAGTACAAACTTGTTTCATGTATGATGGGCATTCAAAAATTCATGGAAAATGTAATTAATACAATCGGAGCCTTCCCACAAAATGTTTGTAACCCATTTATATATTATATGATATAAACAGAAATTAGGAAAGTAATTTCCCCAAGGTCATGAACTAGTCCACCTGACCACTGTGATGGGCTCTCAAGGATCTCTTCCTGTTCTTTCTTCACTCCAAATCCAGCAGGAAGTTACCACTGCAGCCCCCCTCTGCGGCCCCCGCGGCCCCCACTCCATTCCCAGCCTGGTCCCCTCCAGCTTCTGAATCAAAAGAGAAACAGAAACAGCCTCAATTAATATAGTTTTCTTCAGTCGTTTCTTCTCCCAGTTCCTTGGCATGGTTGTTTCCAAGAGAATTTACAAAAAGAAAATTGATGTATCCAAGAGCTAACATAAAACAAGTGAGGAGGAGAGGTATTCTCAAAAATGCAGCTTGCACAGAGCAACACCCACATTTACACTTGGATGAGTCTCTGATGTGTGATGGTGTCTGTGTGGGACCACACCCAGGGTGAGTTTGTGGGTTTTTCTTTCTGACTGTCGTGAGACATGAGCAAATGTTTTCTGCCCATTGATGCTAACTTCTCTGGAATGGTTTCTGATTTCACCATGGCCTCTGCTACCTCACTGGCTGTTAGGTGAGTTCCGGGCTGTGTACTCATCCGAAGCCAGTTTTTCTGAATAGAAAGTCAGTCGTTCTTGGATCAAGCAGATGTCAGTGGTTGCGTTCCACTGCTGGCCCTTCAGAGAATCCCTTGTGGTTCATTGAAGATGGCTACATGGTGTGCGCTCACTTTCAATCTCTAACATCTTTGTGCTCACACTAAATTAGTGGGGTTAGTGTCTGAAAACTGAGGGACATGGAGACAAAGTGAAGTATATAAGAACAAAAATTGATAAATAAAGTGGAAAATTTGGCGCAGGAAAAAAGGAGATTACTGCTGTGGAAACTAATCTGTTATATTTGAAATTAATGGATTTTGTCGGTTTATTAACAAAGAAACCCTCATTGTCTGATGAAAGAATGGCTATACTTATCCTTTGGGAGTCTCTGGATGATGCAAGTGAATAAAGCAATAGGCTACCAACAAAAATGAGGGCAATTCAAATCCACCCGGCTAATTTCCCCCCAAGGTTTCCCGGGCTGCCATCTCTCTGGCTCTCTCTCTCTCTGATTGGAGTCCGGGTGACAGTTTATGAGCAATTTAATCTTTCAGTGAACAGTTAATACAATTTGCTGTTGTTGTTGCATGATAATGGTTGCAATTCTTAGTATGACAGCACTCTTCCAACTTCCTCCCTGGGCTCCCTGTTTTAATTTATCTGTCTTGCATGCTCCTCCCTGAGTTCATTTTGGGCAGATACTGCCCTTTGGACCTCTTCTGGCTAACAATCTTAAGGAGCACACTCTTCTCTGGATCCCTTCATTGCCCTGCTTATTGTTGCTCCCTAGGAGTGAGTTGGAATCTTGGCAGGACAGGTATCTAAGAGCCTCACCCTCAGAGGTTCCACCAGGCTCGATCAGACCAGTAAATCTGGCCATTTTGATGATCCTGAATTTTGTTCTACATTATCCTCTTTTTCTGTACAAAATATTTTATCATGATCAGTGCAGTTGTCATTGGTAGCTGAGCACCATCTAGTTCTTTTTGTCTCAAGGTAGCGGAGGTTGTGATGCATGTGGTATGGCTGTGGTTGGTCTAATTATATCTTTGGGGTTTCCCTCTTTTTCTTTTTTTGCACTGTTCTTCATTTCCGATGAGGAAAGACCAAGAGTTGCATTGTAAATAACTGTGTGCAAGGCTTCAAGGCCCTGGTCCCTAATCATCAAAGCAGAGCACAGAGCATTGTCTTTGCGGTCTAAGCTATGACCTCGGTTGTTATATTTATGGAAGCAGACTGCCAGGTTCCCAAAAGCCACTGAGTGGATTCAAACCATCATCCTTTTGATTAAAAGTTAAGGTCTGACTTATTGGGCCACTAAGCTCCTCTCTGTACAGTTTTAGCCATGGAAAGCTCCATGGGACAGTTTCCCTCTATAAAACATAGGATCATCACGAGTTGAAATCAACTTGAAAGCAATAGATTTGGCTTTTTAAGTTTTCCATCAATTGAAAGGTTAGTGGTTCAAATCTACCCAGAGGCACTTGGAAAGAAAGGCTTGGGAGTGTAATTCCAATAGATCACTGACATTAAAAAGGCTGTGGAGTACATATAGTTGGACTGTGACAAACGTGGAGCTGCCATAAGTTGGAATTGTCTTAATGACAGTTAGGCTGTTGTGAGTTTTGTTATCATTTTAGATATAGTTCAGATCTAGCCTTCTTTAATGTTAGAATTGGTCTTTGATGTAAAATGTCCCTGAGGAATTTTATCTTAGATTTTTAGTAAATTAGAACGATGGGTAAAGGCAGATCATAGCCTCTACTCTCCCAGATAAAAATGAAATAGAAATGATAAAAGGAGCTACAGAGGGACTAAAGCAGAAGAGATACAATAAGTACACATAATACGTTTTGAAAAGGGGCAAAGAAATAAATACATGACTTACTCAGGTGTGACTAGGTAATACTGTTGTCCAACCATACCCACCACATACATAAAAGGAAAAAAATCACACACACATTGAGCTAAAAATAGTAAAAAGGAGCAAAAGAAAAACACGTGAGAAGTTTCACTAATATCACATTTACAAAAATCAAGGAGAAACCATATTTTCAAAGTCTAAAAAGAGGTTGGAAAACTCCAGGTCTGCAGGTGTTCCCACAGGGGACTGAACACACTGGAAATTAAGTCAACTAAGATTTGGGATTCAATAAAATGTAGAAAAAGACAGAGAAGCTCAGATCTGCCAGCGAAGGTGACTGAGCTCCCCACTCCTTCATCCTGCAGTGGCCCTGCCACTGAGCATCCAGCACACAGAAACCTGGGCAACATCCAACCCACACACAGAACGTTTGAAGGAAACCATCAGTTGTCAGGAAACTTCCTCTACATCAAAAAAGACAATATAAAAATATCCTCCCCCAAAATAAACAGATGCAAATAATAGAGAGAGAAATGGTCTAGCAACTTGTATACTGAAAAAAAATTAAGAGTCCCTAACATGCAAAGAATTATTAAATAAAAGAACAACCTGGGAGAAAATATACGCCAAGACAAGAGGACATGTTCCCCTAAGGCCTTTGAGTACTAATGAAACAATGAAAACCAACTTCTCTAAGTATAAAAAAATTAATCATACAGATAAAATAGCAAAATGTCAAAAGTGAAAAGATGAAACAACTAAGTGGAAAAATTATATGGTCACCTGTTCCTGGCCTGGATCCTGAGTATTTAAATATTTAAAGTCTCTAGAATAGGAAGGGGGAGCTATAATGGAGATTATTGGGGCAATTGAAAAATAAGTTTAAAAAAAAACCTCAGGCACACACACACACACACACACACACACACACAAATAGCCCAAACTAGAAGCAGAAAAAGGAGATGAAATAAGAACAAAATCCTTAGAAGGTATGGGCTGTGGATTAGATGATAATAGTCTAAATATGATATTTTCTGAGTTTTCTGTCGAGTTCTGATGAGAGAGTGGGTTATACATTGATCTGCTATCCCCTGGTTTGCACCCCAGCCACCCGGAGACAGAAAGGTGAGCCTGACTCCCCCTGTCAATAGTTAAGTCTCGCCAACCAGAAGAGGAAGTTTTACTCTGTCCTAAGGGGGAAATATATAAACATTTGCTATTCTTTGGTAAAGGGGTTTAATGATTCTAACATTCTTTCAAAGGAGCACTGGTCCTGTGTTACAATTTAACTCTGTGTCCTTGGGATATGGGAGTTCATCTCTGATGAGGGTTTCCACATTTTTTCTAACATTTTTAGGATAATATAATATATTATACATCTGTTAAAATATCTTTAACAAACAAATACAAAAGTTGATGGTTAAAGAGGAAAAAAGGTGAAGAATGTCCTTTTGTTCTTTTCCTTGCTTCCTTCTCAGAGTGAGACAGAATCAGACAGGAGGGCACCAGGAGTAGGGGGGGACTAGAAGTTGTCAATTGTTTACTGGTGTGGGTGGGTGGGGGAAGTCGCAGTACCTGCAAGATTTCTCAGTTCATTTAATTCTTTCTCCAAATTTTCTATGGCTTGTTTATCAGCAGTGGTGTCTAAGAGAGGTTCATTGTGGTCCGTAGTATCAATATATTCAATTTCTGAAATTTCAGAGGCAGCTCTAGATAATGATCGGCCAGTCGCACTTTTGGGGGGCAGCGGAGAGGGAGAAAGGCAGCTGGACTCTTTTCTAACAGCATTGGAGAGTGGTAAGTTTGCTGTTGATGTCTGTCCTAAAAGGCAAAGCAAAAAATTTAAATATGGACTAAGTTTTAAAAATCTGAACTCATGCTTCAAGATACAAATGATTAGCAACCTACTCTTAGAGCAATTAATATGACAGAGTTGGGGGAAAAAATCAAATTTTCATTAAAAGTCGAGAATTCATTTTTATCTACCACAACTTTTCAATCCCAAATCACAGGTTTGGGTATGACAAAGAACACGTTAGGTTTTTTACCTCATAATTGTTCTCCAATCAGATTAAGAAAACTAATTTTATTATTAACAAATGCAATACACTGAAAACCAACTCAATATGAAACCAAACCACCACAAATCGCAAAACCCAACCCAAGGTCAA